GCTAGAGGTGCTCTCTAGGAGGTGGCTGAAGCTGCTGAGCTGAGGCCCGGTGCCTGCGAGACAGGGCCTTCCCCCTCAGACCCGCTGGCAGGGAGTTTGCCGAGCCTGGGCCTGGTGGGGAGGGCTGTGGAGACCTGAGGAGGGGGAGGCAGGCAGGCAGGCGGCTCCGAATCTGTTTAAACTTCCAATTTTATCCTCTTCTTTGCTGTGAGAGATGCCCAGCGCAGCTGTCTGCCTCCTGTCTTCCTGGTAGCTCCTTTGTGCTTTGTGGGTGTTGGTTATTTTGTATATGTTTGCCTCTCCCTGGTCTGGTCACTGTGTGGTTGGTGGTGGTTAGCCCTGTTTTACAGGATGAGGGCTCTCACACTGACTCCCCCTCCCCAACCCTGTGGATCACACAGCTGAGTCAAGCATGGTGAAAGCAACCCTGAGTATTGCTGCTTGAAGCATTTCATCCTATGGATGTGTCTTTGTATCCCTAAACTTCTCTTCTGATGTGTTGCAATGTCTAAGCAAGTGTTATTTAGTTTTACAAAATGAATAGATGGAGAATTCAACAGGTGTCAGTTGTGCTTAACAGTACATAGCTGTGTGGGAGAGAAAAAGGTCAGTCTTCATTGGTTTTAATATTAGTTCAAGCCTTTTAATGTTTAGCAATTTATTTTGTCCATGACTTGCAAGAGTGGTGTAGAAAGCTCTCCCTAATTAAACAAATCAAATAAGGTAATAGAGTATAATTTCTTAGGGAAAAGAACTAACTCAGAAGTGATTACACTTACTGTAGGTCAGACAATCTTTGATATGTCATTTATGCTTTGAGAAGCTTATTACCTGTCTTAGGTTTCATCAGCTCAGCTAATAATGAGATATACAGAAGCAAATGACTTTCTGAACAAAAGTTATAGGCTATTTGCTGTTTGTGTTCACTCTGGTCATACACAGACCTGATTTTTTAACAGGTGTCCAGCAAAAACAGCTGCTAGAGAATGAGTTAAAAATCATAACTTCCACAGCTACACATTTCTGTGTTGTGTAGGGGACAATTGGTATGATTCAAAGGAATTTTGTGGTATAAGGTCTCATCCTCACACTATTATGTGCATATTTACTGCCATCCTGACAAAACTTTCCTTGGTAATGGGAATGTGTTCAGATCCCTTCTTATACGGAGTTTTGAACTGCTTGTATCTACCCTGTTTTTCCAATAAAAAGACCTAATTAAGCTTTTAGTCTGAAATGGAAATCATAAGTTTGGTATTGATCAGGAACTTTTTTGTTAAAATAACATGTCTGCTTGCTTGTTGCCAGGCACTGGATGACCATAACTAAACAATGTCTGTACCACGTGGAGCTGTCCATGCAAAGTGGATAGTGGGGAAAGTAATAGGAACCAAAATGCAGAAAACTGCCAAAGTGAGAGTGACAAGGCTTGTGCTAGATCCTTACTTACTAAAGGTAAAAGCTGGTTAACCTCTTGTCTTGCATGGTAATTTTTCTACTGTGTGGAGGAATGTTTTATTGATTTGACTCTTAGAATTTTTGATAGCTCTTTATAATGCCAACTCCTAAAGGAACTTGCCTAACAATTTGGCTGTGGGGATGACTGCAAAGGATGAAAAGCAGTCTGTTGTGAGGACACTTTCTTACAAATTATCTGCTAAATGTGTTTCTTTGAAGTGTTTTGCTAATGCACTTCATTTGATCTCAGTTGAGAAGGTAAGTTCCTGTTGTTTCACACTTAGATTTAATTTTTTGTATTGATCTGGAGTATGCTTTGTTTTAGAAACTTGACATGTATTAGTCACTTTTACAATTATTTTTGTAGCAGTTTTTCTGTATGCATAATTGTAAGCATACTTAGTATTTGAATCTGTACTGTGATGTGCTACACAAGCTTTGTATTTATCACTTTTCAAGGCATTTCAAACGGGGAGGTTAAAATTAGTATTTTCTCCAGTTTTAGACAGGGAAACCGTGGTACAGGTAGGTGGAATAACTTTGGTAATTGTCTTTGGTAATTGGAAGGTTAAGGATAGAGTCAGGATTAGATAATGGGTCTTGCAGATCCCAGTCCACTACTTCATCTGGTAGAAGAACCTGTTGATTTCTTTTTTAAAAGAAGGATTCTGAATTCAGCTTTTCCAATAAGAATAAATACTGGATTTTTATATGAAAGAAAATGAATTGAGCAAGAAAGCTCTGAAATGACAAACTTCAAAATACTGATTTCAGTCAGGGCTGATGAAGGTTAGACATATTAGCGTGAATAAGAATTAGTATCAGTTCTTGAAGTGTGGACTGGACAGGGAAGTCAGTCAGCTTGGAAGAGCCAAGTCAGCTGTCTTGCTGCAGCAGTGTTGATGTGAAGCATCCTAAGGAGAGCAAAGGCTAACACAGCAGAGCTAGAGAGCAGAGAGGCCAGTGGAAAGTGTTGATGCTAGGAAAGGGAATCTATGTTAAGTGAAGGGCTTGGTATTTTTGCCTGTATCCACATGTTCACTAATTTTTGTACTTGGCTTTTTCTTCCCCATCTCCTTTTCTACAGGCTCGGTTGGCAGCAACATCCTGACCAGAAAGGGTAGTGCTGTGCTTTCTTTAGAAAAACAGTAGAGTGCACAGTTGCATTTCTCTTCATGAGCCAAACTGAATCTCATTTTAAAAAATACATAAGACTTTACTTTGCATTAGTGAAATTTAGCTTGTTTTATATTAACTATATATTTGCCAATTGCTCAATTTTGAAATCTAATTCCAAGGTTTCCTTTTTTCCTTCTACAGTTCTTTAACAAACGAAAAACCTATTTTGCCCATGATCCATTGCAGCAGTGTGTTGTTGGAGACATTGTTCTTCTGAAGGCTTTGCCTGAGCGAAGGAGCAAACATGTGAAACACGAACTGGCTGAAATTGTTTTCAAGGTTGGAAAAGTCATAGATCCAATAACAGGAAAGCCCTGTGCGGGAACCAGATTCCTTGAAAATCTGTCAGATTCAGAAAATCTGACAGAGGCAGATACAACATATCTAAGTGAAAAACTTCAGGAACTTAAAGTTTGTTCGACAGACAAATAGTGGGGAATATATTTAAACAGGGGGCTTTTCAGCCTGTCTCTGTCAGGGATGTTTGGGGCCCTGCTGTTGTATGTTAAATGTTTCAGTGAAATCTGTAGTCAAAATAAGTAGTAGACATAGTTGCTTATAAGAACGGATGTTACAGATTGATAGGCACCTCAAATCTTTAAATGAAAATACAGAAAAAATGTGAATTTAGTGTTAATACTTCATTTTGTTGCATGTAGTTTTGCCCTGAGCCCTGACAGTTTCAGAAGCCAGCTGCTGTCTTGGGGTGACTCTTCTGTATTGAGAAAGACAGGAATATAACTGTATGATGTTTAAGTTTTGGTAGGAGGGTCACTATATTACTTGATTGTTCTGTATGTCAGACAGACTATTGTGGTTTGTAGGAATAATTAAGATAATGCTATTAAACTTTTTGAAAGGAAGTGCAGAATTTTAAAACCAGCTACCTGCATGTGTCCTTATTTCCTCCTTACGGTTGCTCATATCACATTGCAGTATCTTCTAACTTCCAAAATCTCTGACAGAAACACAGCCACTTGCCTTTATAATGGCAGTAAGGTGAGAATAAAAAACTTCAAGGAGCTTAGCGTGGTTGCCTTTGTAACATGTCCAAAGGAAGTGTTTAATTCTGGGAGAGATGGATCTCTCTGAACTGCCAGCAGGAAATAGAAGCTGATGAGAATACAAAGCCAAAAAATTAGAAGTAAAGACAGTTAGATTTAGTCTCATTGGAAAAGCTAATTAAAAGGACCCATTTGGGGGGAGATACAGGTACTGATTGGCTGCATAGTTTAATATGAAACTAGAAGGCCAAAGAAGTTAATGATTAAAGATCACTTTATCCTGCTACAGCTCTGGGAATCTTGTATCCTGTCTTCCAGGACATAAAGCAAACAGTGTGCAGCTGTTAGAGCAGCCTGGTGTTGCTGACTTTTCATTCTGATCTAAAGGGGCATCTGCCTCACAACCCAGCATTGGTGGGGACAGCGTTCCATGGCCCTGTATGGGGGGAGAGTGGTATATTAAAGCTATGAGAAATCGTTTGTGAGGTGTCCCTCTATGTCATTGGTCTTCATTTAAGATCAGAAGCTAAACAAGGTGTATCTGAATAGAGTTCCTCTCATCTAAAATATCTTACTTTAAGAAACCGAGCCAGCTTACACTGGTAAGCTGTCAGTTGTGTTCTCTTCCATTGTCAAAGTGGTGTAAATAATTTGCCCTTTAACTTCCCTCACCTTCACAAAATCAGTTTCAGCTGCCTGGAAATGGCTAACAATTTGTTGAGTTCAACTGGACTTTATTTGGGCTAGGAAGAATGTGAAACTTACATTTTCTTCAGTGCTTCAAACCTAAAAATACTGTTCTTTGAATGCTCATCCTTCGGTACTGTCCTGCATGTCAGATAGATAAGCTGGGATGTCAAGACCTCTCGATTCAAATGTCTGCATGTAAATAATGTGAACATGGTCTCTGACTTTGAGGAGGTGTCGTCAACATATGGTTGTAGGTTATTCTTGTTGATATGTTTGTTGCAGTGGTTTAGGTTTATGTAAATTACTTAGTAACTCCAGCTGGCTGATTAAGGCCCTTGTGGAAGTGGAAGGAAACCGGGGCTCTGACTTCTGCTCCAGTGAATGCAAAATGTGAAACTTCATCCCTAGCAGAGATTGAGAGAAATCAGACCCGGGCTGGCGGAAACACATGCACGTTGTGTCCCAGCAGGTGGTAAAGGAACCTGACCCTCAGTATTTGGGTTATGAGTGTTCTAATAACTGGGCTTATAATGCTTATAAGAAATAGAGAAAAGTTCCTGTTTGCTTAATGAGTTGCATCTACATCTAATTAGAAGTAAATCATCTTTCCCTGTACCTCCTGTGATTTTTCTTGAGTAGCTGTGAAAATGTCCTGGGTTTTTTTCTGAGATTGCTTCATGGCAGAAGGTTGTCAGGTTTTGTTTTTGTTTGTTTTTTTTTTTTTCAGTGTGTGGGTGGGCTCTGGAGGGTCCCTCGAGAACTCAATGTGCTGTCAGAGCAAAATGTGATTAAATGCACAGTGTGAAGTATAACTTGTTTTTTAAAGAATGATGGCAATTGTAGGTTAAACCGGTATTTAAAGAGGCACCGCAAACATTGTACTTTACTTTACATTGAACTTGCTAGCCTGACTTGCCCTCATTAAAAAAAAAAAAAAAAAAAAATCATAAACCAGCAATGGAAACTGTGTAGTGAAATGATTTAAGCTTTATATGTGCTACATAGAAAGGCAAGGTTTGCTCATTAACTTGTTTTCTGTGTTGATTGGCTAGTTGCTTTTAGAGCTGTCCTTTAACTATTAGCCTAATTATAAGTTTATTCTTAATTTAAAGTTATTTAAGGATTTCCTAAAAGTTATTTAAGGATTTGATGCCAGCACGCACCGCCCATTCAGCCAAATTAAACACTACTGTAGCTGTAACGGCGTGAAGAAAACATTTCAGCTACACGTGGGTGAAAAACGAACAACTTTTTACACATCATTCAGGAAACCGGGTTTTTCTTTGTGGTGTTTTAGGCGCATGCGCGCCTGGCTCCGCCCCCCGGGGGCGTGGCCATAGGACCGCCGCCGCGCGCCCCCCTCCCCACGCGGCGGTGCGCCCCTCGCGTGCGGCGGCGGCGTTGCAACGCTTCCC